GATTGACTATCTATAGCTCTGTGTTTCACAGAATGAAACGCCGTCCGGTCCTGCACCCTCCTCAGAGTTATGTTTATGCCCGTTGTTGCAGCACGTCAGTCCACCTCGTCGAGGGCCTCCCTCTTTGTCGCAGCGCCTCTCCCAAGCATGAAACCTTTCTCCAGTGACTGGTTTCTGGAGTACGTGGGATGAAGTACTTGTTTAGGGCCAGAGAACCCTCTTTAGATGAAATCTTTAATACATATTCATATACTAAATAGGGTATATAAAACGGATACGAAGGGGGTTTTTATTCGAATTTTATAAATTCGGGTGTGTAGCATTTGTGTGTGTACCATTTACAAAAGGAGCCTTGGTGGTGTAGTGGCTGTATGTTGCACTATTCACTGCAAGGGCAGCAGTTCAAAACCAGAGAAACGGCTTTCTACTCCTGTAAATAGTCTCGAAAACTAACAGGAGCAGTTCTACCCTGTCCTATAGGGTCGTGGTGAGTCGGCATCGACTCAGTGACAGTGAGTTTGGTTTGAGGAGCATTGGCAAGGAAGAGTATATTTCTGTTAGGTAGCTAGAGACAAGAGACGGGGTTGTCGCTCCCAAACCTGTAGAGGCCCCCTAGAGGAGGCTGGGAAGGAATCAGGCGAGCATTAGCCACCCATGAAGACCCGCGAACTGGGCATGCTCCAATTCAGGCCCCTGAGCCAGGTGGGCCATACACCTGGGCAGCCCAAAGTAGGCCCAGGCTCATAACCCCACCCAGGTGGGCTTAATTCAGCCAATGGGGGTCAATCAAGACCTTCAACCACGCCTCCTCTACTGGCGGGAAGGGCAATCTCTGTGCCAGTGCTGTGCCTCGCTCTCTGGCCTCAATTCCAAACCTGTGGGTGCGCAGCTCCAGCTGGTTGCTCGTGTCCAGTTGTGAACTTTCTCATGACTACTGCACAGTTTGGCACACTTCCCTGGAATAGCATGTACTTTTGTTTTTAGCGTGTACCCTTTTGAGGCTGTAAAACCTGAAACGTCTCCGTCTTTCATAAAAACTCACTTGGATTACTGACTTGTGTTTTGTAATTCTTTCTCGTGGGAAGCCAAGAGGTTTTACCCACTTGAGAAACCTCACATTTTGAGTGCGTGGAATGACGACGAGTTTTATATTTGGATAGAGGGGTGGGACACAGATTGCCTAGGGCGGAGTTGCGTCTTTAACAGCTGGTCTTGCAGTCTCAGGAAACTTCAGAGGAGATGACAATATAAGTCTTACTCAGATGTGTACACAAAAGCTAACACAACAATTTTTTGAAGCATTTAAATAGTTTTATTTCACTTGCTCAGTTCAACAATTAAGAAATACAGGTTTAGCACACATTACTCATTCTTTCTATAGATTAATGTGAAATGTTGCATGTAAGTTACAAATTATAAGAATCAAAATATAAAACATTGTTGATGCTAATATTCAAAATGTGTTTTGCACAATTCTTAAAAAGAAAGTATTCATTATAAGTTGGAAGCACAGAACTCAACAAAAACAAACTAGATGTTGTGTCATGAGTCTCCTTACAAGTACAATCTACTTTTCAGCAATCCATATGCCATTGAAAATGTAAACCCAGACCCAAGACCCATCTGTAGGCAGCTGGACATCCCCGTACAGAAGGGTCTCAGGGAGGAGATAAGCCAGTCAGTGTAGCAACGATGAAAAATACAACTTTCCTCTAGTTCCTAAATGCTTCCTCCCCTCACTATCATGATCCCAATTCTACCTTACAAATCCAGCTAGACCAGAGGATGTACATTGTACAGATAGGAACTGGAAACACAGGGAATCCAGGATGGATGATCCCTTCAGGACCAGTGGTGAGAGCGGCGATACTGGGAGGGTAGAGGGAGGGTGAGGTGGAAAGGGGGAACCGATTACAAGGATCTACATATAACCTCTTCCCTGGGGGATGGACAACAGAAAAGTGAGTGAAGGGAGACATCGGACAGTGTAAGATATGACAAAATAATGATTTATAAATTATCAAGGGTTCAAGAGGGGGGAGAGGAAGAAGGAAAAAATAAGCTGATACCAAGGGCTCAACCAGAAAGCGAATGTTTTGAGAATGATGATGGCAACAAATGTACAAATGTGCTTGACATAATGGATGGATGTATGGATTGTGTTAAGAGTTGTATGAGCCCCAAATAAAATGATTACTTTTTTTTAAATGTAACCCCATATCCAATACTTAAAAAAAACAGCCAAACCTCTAATTGGCTGGGGAGGGGGTGTTAAATATGCACTTGTGTGGTAGATCTATGCTACAATGAAGAGTCTGACATTGACATGCAGGAGTGCTGTAGACAGATCTGGATCACTCAAGGAATACAGGAGGCCCATGCCAAGGAAGGGCACAATATTTTCAGGGTCATTCAATTGGACTCTTTGTACACGTTCCGCTTTGTCATCTGTCTGAAGATATTTCTTGGCATTTTCCCCTTTGCCAAATTGTGCACAGTACCCTGGGTTAGCAAGGCCTTTACTGTTACTCTAGAATGCAGGTGCAGTACTCATAAGGATCAACTTCGAAAGACTAGGAGGCAAAGGCCACGAATATTCGTTCTCAGCTAGTGGGGTGAGGTCAACCATTTTTGGCTTTCAATTTGGGGCTGGAATTGTGAATCTGCAGAGGAGGAAAGTGGCCAACGTGTCTGGGGTGAAGTGACTAGCACGGGCACTCGCTAACACATTTTTAAGCTTTCCTATCTGGCAAAAAATCCAGTACATTGAAGTGTTGTGCATGTTGCTTACTGTAGTTTTTAAAGCATGAACATTAGAAAAATAACATTTGAAGCAGACACCTGAATCTGCCAGAAGTTAATCTCTGCATTGTCTCTCTACAATCCAGCCCTCCCCACCCCCCACAACCCCAACTGAAAAGGGTTTCAGAGTGAACATTTCGGTCCTCTCGTGACTTTACCCACACCTGCAAGAGTCTAGTCACAAAAAGAGAAATGAAGTCCTGACGGGTACAGGAAGCACGATGCTGAGTGAGGTCAGTCAGTCAGAGACACAAATATTGTATGAGCTCACAGGTCTGAAACAAGAATGGGCAAATGGAAGATCAAAGTTCATTAATGGTTACCAGGGGCAGGAGGGAGAAAGGGAGAGCCACTGTTTAGGAAGCAGTGTTTATGGTGATGGGAAATTCACAATGGCCAGGGGTGAGTGATGATTACGTAAGCTGGTTAATGTAAGTGATCTCATTGAATTGTGCGCCTGAAAAAGCATTCAGTTGGCAAATGCTGACTTGTGCATATTTTTACTATTATAATGTGCATGTTTTCCTTTTAAATTAATTCAATATTGCTACACTCAGAAGGGGAATCCCTGGGTGGCACAAACAGTTTAAGAACTTAATTATTGACCCAAAGGTTGATGGTTCCCACCCACCCAGAGGACCTTGGCCAAACGGTCACAGCCTTTTGCATAGAAGGGGTTGCCAAGCCAATCCGCTCCAAGGTGACTAATACATGCAGAAGGTCGTGTGGGAAGCACGGGAAAGACATTAGACAAGATAGGTATTTCTGAAGTAAACTGGACAATTTCTAGTGTTTATTATCTAATATACTACAGTAAAACCAATTAATTCCATACCCCATAGTTTGGAGGATCATAAAAGTTCTGTCCGACAGGGATGAAGGTGGAATACACTGTGGAGTACATTATTTTATTAACTTTTTCACCCTAAGTTGAGCTGGTCTGCATCAAGCAAGTTCCCTTTCTCCTACTTTTACACTAAGCATTAATGGTCTGCCATAACTGACGCATGTGAAATTGAGAATGAAAGTAAACTACTTTTAGCAGGGGTCCCTTTCCTTGTACTTGAGATGCACGGAAACTATGTACCTACCACCCCCACAAGCAAACTAGATTTCATTTCTCTCTAAAGCACTGAATTCAACCTATGTGTTGTCTATTAATCACTTTTCATGATACATTCTGGATAGAGCTTTTCTCTAAATCTTAGGTAATGAATAGAACGTGTTACGGATTGGTCAAGTAGTAAGTAATAAGCAAGGTCCTGGAGGAAGTTGAGAAAGAAATAAACTGCACATGTGGTTTATCCACTGGGCCATCTTACCTCCAGGTAAATTTGAAAAATAGCGCCCTACATTCATAGCCAGAGACAGCGAGTGTTACGGGTTGAACTGTGACCCCCCCAAAAGAGAAGCCTGGCCCCCGTACCCATGGGTACGATCCTGTTTGCAGTTCGGGTTTTCCCTGCTGTGTTAGTGAGGTCAGAATGGAGTAGGCTAAGTCCTCAATCTTGTCATTCTTGAGTTATAAAAAGAGGAGAAATGACAGAGTCCCACCCCGGGGAAGGCAGACGTCAAGGAAGGCCGCGGAGTTCCAAGGGCCATCAAGGGTTGATGGCAAGAGACCCACAGAAAGCATGCACCCGGATGAGACCCGAGTTGTTGTTTGGCCTCCAGACTGTAACTAGGTATCCGCTCTTCAAAGTCACCTGCTGTGTGTTTGTCTCCATGACATCAGCGAACCTGTACACTGAGAAACCGGCAAGGCTTGGGTGTCGAGAGGTCTTTATTGAAATAATAGCACGGTTACACTTCTAATGCCCTTCCACGTGTATACAACAGATTTAAAATGCTTGCTACATACAGTGCACAGACAGTTCAATAATTAGAGCCAACTCAAATGCATTTAAATAAATAAAATAGGCTATTTAATAATTTAAAGTAAAATTACTGTACCGTATGAAAATAAAAATACATAAATGTTAGGATCTACAATGCTGTAGTAGCAATAAAATCATTACTCTGCATTACATAAAACAGTACAAGGGCAAAAACTCAAATAAGTTTTTGGAGTGCAAAGTTTTAATTTCCCATTTTAAATTATCATGCAGAATAGCATTTCAAGTCATGCTCTGGTTTATGGCAAAAATTTTTAATTTCTTTTAAGGAGGATAAATGCCAGCCAGTAAATTCATCGTGCCATCCAGTACTGCATCACTAACTGCTGCTCTCTGCTTCCACAGTGCTATTTATCTTGTTGGATCCAAAAAACTGAAACTGACAAGGTTCAAAAGCAAGTACGCGCCTTTTACCATGAAACAAAATAATGTGATCAAATAATAGTCACATCTCTGGCCTAATTTAAAAAAAAACTGATGGCCTATACTCTGAACTCTGAAGCAGTTTTCTCTCCTTCCTTAAATTCCATAATGATCCTCAGTGAAAACAACCATGTAACTGTAAAAAGTCTCACCTCTAGCTGACAAGTAATACAATAGCATGGGGCTGTGGGGAGTGGAAGTAAATGTCTGAACACCTATGTCTATCTGTGTAGAACTTGGCTGCGTTACATACGATAATATCCTTAAAGTATAGAACCATTTCAGTGTGTATATAAAACTGTCATTAGGCAAAGACAAAGGAATGCATTTAATACTAAACCGTAAACGTGTCATTCACCGTGACACGGTGTGCACGCTGAAAACGGGAGAGCTCTTCCGCAGACTTTGGCAACAAGACAACACACAGCTGGTCACAGCAGCACACGCTCACACAGAAGCACTGCAGACCACCGCCACCAACACCTAGCAACGGGGCACCTGGTCACCAGGGGCATCCTCGTGCTGAGCCACTTCCTGGTCAGTCTATGGCTTCAAATCTGTCTTTTTCCCGACTCGGTAGTCTTAAGTGTGTGTGCTTTCACAGCATCGACGGACTTGGGTGTCCTCTAGCCACTGTAAGTCCAGAGGGTGACCGTTCTGTCTGCAGAAGAGGACAGGAAGGAGAGGTCCTGGGTGTGCCATCGACACTGAATCACTTTGTCCTTGTGCTCCCCGACCACCATGATCGGAAGCTGCTTAGTGAGGTCGCCTAGATTAAAAACGAGAAGAGTTGTTGATTGATGTAAGTACATATATAGATTATAGACTCCTGGTCCTTCATGACATTACAACATGAGCTATCCTAAACTGCATTAATAAACAGGGAAGTTTGAACAGGGATCAATTACTGAATACCTAGCTGCGTTACCAGCGTTTGGTGGCAGGAACACTAACATTTGACACGGCTGCCCACTCGCCCTGTCCCCAAACTCTCGCTCATCTTGGCTTCTCTTCACTGCAGGGCCGCTCTGTCTGTCAATGTGTCCGAGCCAAGTCACCAGCACCTAACAATGACAAGAGCATCTCTATCTCCTTTGTTGGCTTTCCTTCTCCTGCTGATTTTAGTCAGCAAGTTCCGTGGCTCCCGAAGTCAGCCCTCGGATGTCCTCTGTTCCCTTTCTACCTCACATGGCCATTGATATGCTTACAATTCCCACGTTTTACCTCCAGCCTTGGGGAGGTAGAGCTCAGACTAGTATCCAAATGTTCTTTGGTATCTCATTTGATTACCTAATGATATTGTTCCATGGCTGTTGGTTTTGACTCATAGACTGCCCTCTAGGGTGTCCTGGGCTCTAATTTTGATGGGAGCAGATCTTGAGTGACTGACTGGTGGGCTCAAACTGCCAACCTTCCCATAAACCGCCAAGTGCTCAATGACTAAAACACCAGTGCCCTTGATTATCCAATGGTCATCTTCAATGTAACGAGTCCAAAACAAAGCGGATTTTCTTGCCTAAACCTGCTCCTCCACCACCTGTCTTTTTCACATCAATTAATGGTACCATCTTTTAGAACAGTGGCTGCTCTCAACCTGTGGGTCGTGACCCCTTTGGGGGTCAAACAACCCTTTCACAGGGGTCGCTCCAATCATAAGAGTAGCAAAATGACAGTTATGAAAAGCAATGAAAATGTTATGGTTGGGGGGGGTCACCATAACATGAGGAACTGTATTAAAGGGTCGCAGCATTAGGAGGGTTGAGAACCACTTATGCCAAAATCATCTTTGGTTTCTTTCCCTCATAAGTGGAAATACTGTATATCTCAACTTCAATCACGTACCACCTCCGCCTCTAGCATTCTAGTCCACGCCGGACCATTCTAATAGACTCTTCACTAACACTTCTGTATGGCTCCATTATAATTCATTCTTTCTGCAGAATTCAAGACTGTCTTTTTTTAAAGTAATCCAGACCTTATCACTCCTCTGCTTAGAACCCTCCAAAGGCTTCCCACTTCAGAGCCCGTCTCGGTTTGTTCTTCCCCATCTCCCTTCCCTGATTCACTAAGCTCCAGCTGCGCTGGCCTCTGGCACTGTCGGAGCATGCCAAGTGCCCTCCTGCCTCAGCATCTTTATATTTGCCAGGCTTTTCACCTAGGGTCCTGGCACGGCTTGCTCTTTCTCACCATTCAGGTCTCTCTTCGGATGGCGCTTCTCGGAGACACCTACTCTATCTATCCTCTCTAAAACTGCCTTCCCAGTATCAGCACCCCAGGAACTCTGCTCTCTGGGTCCTTCTTTATAGTACTTGTCAGTAGCCAGAACCTCACAGTTCACTGGTTTACTTTTTAAGATCCCTAAATGTAAGGTCCACCAAGGAGGGGTTACTGGTCCGGTTCCTCTCTCTGCTGTTCCTACTTGGTACATAATAGGTATTTGCTTGCTGAATGTTTAAAAATAAAACTAGATATTAAAAACAATTACACAGATTGCACATTAATGAGTTGTTTGAAGTAAAAGCAAGAAAGTACATAGATATATTTTAGCATCTGTTATCATAACAAATAACATGTAATAATAACATAATAAAACGACTCACTGTTAACAAGTGTAGATTCTTTTAAATATTTTAAGGACATTTGACAAAAAATATTATTTACTTTTTATATTTGCCATAACCCATATTATTACATCCTATATAATCTGGGAAATAAATAATCTGTTTAATCAATATTATAAAATTTAAATTACAAAATGTCAAAGTGAATTGTACTAGATTCACAAGAAGCAGGATCCCAAATAGAATACAAGGGACAGGAGAAAGGTGCGAGGTTGATCTAAATTACCTTGCAGGTCTGTCACCTTTATTTTCATGTCATAAGATCCCGTTAGCAGGTAATGAGCTCCAGGAGAGAATCGAACGGAGCGAACATCACTGGAGTGAGGATGATAACTCTGTACCATTCTTCCTCCTCTTATGTCATATAGCATGCAGCTAGAATCTTCTTGGCCTGTTGCTAAGAGACGGCCACTGGGGTCTACGGCTACCGACGCAACTGCACTGCCTGTGGCAAGAGGAATGTAGGTTTAATGTGGAAACATCAACAGGGTTAAGAAGTAACACAGTTAATTACAATTGCTGAATCATCCATACAGTAATAAGTTTATGTAGCCTCTCAATACTGTTCCACTTATGAGAAAACTCAAACTAACAGCCTATAAGCACTTGCTTCTTTTAGAGGAAAGCCATGAAGCAAGATTCTCTGGGGAAAGAGAAAGTCCTTTGGGGGGTAGGGATTTTGAGGAACGCCCTCCTAAATTGTGTAACTGTACTATAATAGATGAGCCACACTAGAAAAAACATCTTTCCTATTCTAATTTTTTCACTGCTGGTAAAGCGTCTAAAAATACTCCCATACCGGGAATCCAAGACAGATGATCCCTTCAGGACCAGTGCTGAGTGGCTAATACCAGGAGGGTGGAGGGTGGGTGGGGTGGAAATGAGGAACCGATTACAGGGATCTACATGTGACCTCCTCTCGGGGGACGGACAACAGAAAAGTAGGTGAAGGGAGACATCGGACAGTGTAAGATATGACAAAATAATAATTTATAAATTATCAAGGGTTCATGAGGGAGGGGGGAGCAGGAAGGGAGGAGAAAAAATGAGAAGCTGATGCCAGGGGCATAGGTGGAGAGCAAATGTTTTGAGAACGATGAGGGCAGCGAATGTGCAAATGTGTTTTACACAATGAATGGATATATGGATTGTGATAAGAGTTGTATGAGCCCCCAATAAAATGATTTTTAAAAAAGAAAATGTCTCAAATGTCCCAAAAGCAACATGTGATTTGCTGCCAGCATGAACAGATGAGAGGAAGCTGAGTCCAGAGGCTGGAGCCACACTGTTGTCCATGTACTCTCAGTGGGGCAACAAGTGCCCCAAGAGGGCAGGAAAAAGGCGGTTCTCAAAGAGAGAAAACAGTATTAAACATTACAATAGTTTTGTGGCCCTTCGAGTTCCATCCTACTCAACAAATCTTATTTCTTAGAACTGGATTTATCTCATTAGGAAAACATGGATTTAATTTTTCTTCTGAGGAGGGCAACAATGAAAACAAAGTTGAGAAACATTGCTGTAGGCAAAGTGGAGGACTGGGGAAGGGCCTACGTTAGACCTTGAAAAGCAGTGCACAATATAACTAAGAAGGGGTGTGTGGGCAAGTAAGAGAGTACCTTCCTGAAATTTTGACAGAGATAAGGAGGAGGCTATGGTCAGAGGAGCGCTGGGGGAGCTGCTAACTGAGAGACCAGCAATTACGCTCAGGAAAAATTACGTGAGAAAAGGCTTAAAGGAAAAGTCTACAACAACAAATGTTTAAGGGCAGGTAATCAGATTTGGCTGGAGTCACTTGGCTTAACCAGTTAACAGTCTTGACATGAAAGGCAGGTTAGGGTCATCCATCAAGCACCTGGCATCCCACATTGCAGAATTTGAACTTGCTCCTCTTGGAGACATGGAGGCATCATTGCAGATTAAGTGAATGTGAAACTCTAATGGACAGACCAGAAAGGAGACTACTAAAAGACACGATGGAAAAGTAAAACAATGAGAGAAAAGGGGCCTGAATGAGGACAAGCAGACAACTTTCAGGGGATGTAAGTAGCAAAAAAAGAAAAATCTATCATTTTAGCTATTAACTGCTTGGGTGGAAACAAAAAAGGAAGTGCAAAAGGAGTCCCAGATTTCCAACCTGGCTGAATGCGAAATATGGGAACCATTACCAAAAGGAGGGAAGGTGGGCGGATGTGGGATATAAACAGACATTTCCTCATCTTTGTCTCCCCGAAAGATATGACAAACATTAGAGGCTGTTTGCCAGCACATGGTGGGAGGTCAGATGCTTAGAGACATCCTGCCTGAAGGCATGCAGCCATCAGACTACAGTCTGGTCCACTGTAGGTGGGGCTCACACCCTACTGATAAGGATAGTAATTGTTTCCATGGAGAGTCAGAGACCAGGTCAAACCTGCTCAGTGACATCCAAAGTTAGGTGGCCTTCCTGAATCCAGGATCCAACCATCTTGTCACATGTGTACCCCTAATCCCTCCCCTTCCTATTTCATGTATACCCTTAGATCTTCCCCTTTTATTACTGTATCACCTATAGTACAACCCCTTCCTGTGACATATGTCTTTACCTGTAATTAGGGGGCTTGCATGCCCCCAAAAGATACATAAGCCTTGGTTAGTAATAAATGTAACTCTCCCCCAGTCCCTGGTTCCTCTCCCCTAGACCTCGCCCCTCTCCCCCAGTCACTCTCTCCCCTGCCTTTTCCACCTTCCACATCTCCACATGGACCACCAAGCAGGGCTGAGAGGAGCATGCTACCATGAAATGTGTCTGCCTCCTGTATTTCACTCTCTTCTATCTCTGATGCGCTATGACTTTACATATTATCGCTGGACAATTGTGCCTGCCAGGCCTGCGATGATTTGTCAGGGGCTGGCTCCCCTGACAGGAGAAGAACTGACTTGGAAGGGAGAACCAGGCTAGTTTTACACATGCACAGTTCTGGTAGCAACAGAAGTCCATTTTCATTTCTTCAACCAACCTTTAATACCGCAGGGCAAGGCACCACGATAGCACTGTATCTACTGCTGCCTTTGTGGAACTTAACATTTACTGGAGGAGGCAGATAATACATAACTTTCTAGGAGTGATGGCTTATGAAAGACAGGAGATTTAGTGAGAAAATAGTGGTGAGATTCCACTGAGGAGAGTCAAAGAAAGCCTCCCTGGAAAGATTATTCTGAAGCTAAGCCCTAACAACGAGGAGGCCACTTCAGGTTAAGGATAAGACTGTACAATGTTGGATAAGAAAACCCACACACAAACTCACCGCCATCTTGTTGATTCTGACTCATAACAATCGTACGTTTTAATTCTATACAGGAGTAGAAAGTCTCATCTTTCTCCCTTGGGAAAAACCCTAGCCAAATCCTAACCCAATGTCAGCCAACGAGGCCACCACAGCTCCAGTAAGGGTAAGAGGAGGAGCATAAAAATGGGAGTGAGAGCCGCAAGAGGAGGTCAGAGAGGGAATGTTTTTGCATGGCCAATTCTATAAAATTGTTATACAGGTAAGGAAGGGCATGATCCAGTAGAGAGGAGATTAACACTGCAAGAGAAAAGAGAGACGACCAAAAAACTGAAGTTTCTGAAAGGAGAGAAAAGGAGCTGAGAATAATCTAGATAACCAGGAGAGAGTCAAGTTCATGAAAGGTACACAGAAAACAAACCAGTAAAATAAACCCAGCTACTAAGTGGGAAAATATGCAAGACAAAACAATAAGGTGTTGAGTAGCATTTACAGCAGGCCCTATGTATCCACGGGGGTGGGGGCTTAAGTAAAGTGCTATTTACACAGCATTTCTATTATATACTATATTATAAATAAACAAAAAACTCACTGCGATCAAGTCCATGCAAACTCACAGTGACCCCATAGGAAAGGGTAGAACTGCCTCTGTGAATTTCCAAGGCT